CATTAAATTCCAGTGAAATATATTTATGTTTGTGGTTGTAATGTGACAAAATATGGAAAAGTTCAAGGGGTATGAATACTTTTGCAAACCACTGTATGCTCCCTGGTACGTATGTGCCCTGGTACCAATGTTCCCCAGTACTTATATTCCCAAGTATGTTTCATTCAGAGTACCTACGTTCCAGGGTACCTATGTTCCTCAGTTTCTATGTTCCTGAGTACCTATGTTAAAAAGTACCAATGTTTCCTGGCACCAATGTTTCCCAGTACCTATGTTCCCTTGTACCAATTTTCCAGGGTACCTTTGTTCCCCAGTACCTTTGTTTCAGAGTGCCTATGTTTCCTGGCACCTATCTTCCCTGGAATCTATATTCCAGAATACCTATGTTACCCACTATCTATGTTCGCTGGTACCTAGTCCACAATAACTATGTTCCATAGTACCTCTGCTCCCAAGTACCTATAATTCCCTAGTACCTATGTTCAAGAACACCTATGTCCCCCAGTACTTATGCTGCAGAATACCAATGCTTCATAGTATCTTTGTTCCCCAGTACCTTTGTTTCAGAGTGCCTATGTTTCCTGGCACCTATAATCCAGAATACCTATGTTACCCAGTATCTACTGTATGTTCTCTGGTACCTATGTTCCACAATACCTATGTTCCATAGTACCTCTATTCTCTGGTAGCTATGTTCAAGGACACCTGTGTCCCCCAGTATTTATGCTTCAGAATATATGTTCACTGGTACCTATAAACATAGGTACGTAGTACCTATATCCCTCAGTACAAATGTTCCCAATTACCTACGTTCCTTAGTACCCATGTTCCAGAGTACCTATGGTCCCCAGTACCTACAGTATGTTCCTAAATATCTATGTTCCCCAGAAAATTTGTTCCCCAGTATCTATGTTCCCTACCATGATTTTTTTTCACCTGTTCCTGATATAAACATCAGATATTTTGTTTATAACAGATAACCTTCTGGCATAAATCAAATTTGTGATGGATGCCGCAGCTAAATCACATTAGTCAACACACAAATGACTGTCTGTCTCAGTCACTGTTACAGATATTGAGCTAAAATTTGACATTATAGCAGTTGAGAGTATTTTACAACACAGCTCTGGTGAGATCTTGCATAAGTTTATGAAAACTGTTATTTTCAAGATTTGACCAAAATGAATATTATGACTTTATTTTATTTTTACATTGTTTGTTTGGCCTAATAGGATACTGGGAAGTAAATAAAAAAATACAGCAAAGCAAACATTTTATTTATATATTTTTTTAATTTTTGAAACTTTAAGAACTTTATATTTATGCAGTTTGTGGCTCTTAAACATTTGATGTCCATAGGTTTTGTAAAAACTTAATATCAGCATCAAATGGGGCTGATAAAAGTTGTATGTGAAGGTGCACAAGTGACGATATGTTAGCAAACCACTTTCCTGTGAGTTTGCTCAGTCAGCCTTATGTATTTTTTAAAGCATACACTTAGGTTTCCATGTGGCATGGGGCTTTTTTGGCCCCTCGAGATCTCAGACTTGCTAAACCCATTAAGAACCATGTAAATGACTGATCAGCAGAGCTGGAGCTGCAGTTTCTCACACAGCTGCAATAAATTGACTGAGTGAAAGGAAAGTTCACAGAAAAAGTGGTAGAAAATAAATCAAA